CACCCCATTAACGGACCAAAAGGTGTGAGTAGCTTTGAACATGAGGGCTTCCACTTTCACATCCATTGTTCACCAGTAACTTCTCCAATTGTTCCTATAGATAACATAAAACTAAGACTGGTGTTTGAGATGTTTTTCAGATTCTGCATTTTGGGAGAGCTTCTGACAGCCAACTGGACTAGTGACTTGTGAACCCCATCCAGAAACTGACTTGGTGCAGAAAGACATCCTCAGCATCTCTGTGATTGAATTCCCTGGCCAATCAGTAGTCCTTAGCTAGCCAAACTACCTTTAAAAACCCTAACCTCTAAATTCTCAGGGCAGTGGATTTGAGAAATACCTCCTGTCCTCCTTGCTCAACTTGCTTTGAGATATGGAACCCTTTCTCTTCTGTAATAGCTATGCCAGTCTGTTTTTCTGGGCAGTAGGCATAAGAACTTGATCACACTGTAACAGAATCTCCTTAAATTCTACCCCCTCACTCCTTGCTAAGAAACTTCCATGTTTTACTCTTTCTGGCTTTCATGTCTACTCATTGTTAAAACTAGAAGTCTCTCTACCTGGGGCTATTTACTCCACTTTTTCAGATAGATAGGAAGGAGACCCTGCATTAGGGAGAGCTCTCTAGCCACTAGGTAGGGGAGAAGCACAGTAAATGCTGCCCACATGGAGCAGGGGTCACCAGAGCTTTGATTAGCTTTGCACCTCTAGGCGGCTGGGGGCATTCCTGGTCACACTCAGCCCACCCTGTCTGTAGACACAACTAGTCCCTGATTCTAACTATATGAAGTCTTCCACTCATCACCAGCAGTTAGCCAAAGATAGACACAGAGATGTGCAAGTGGCCCGACTTCCCATCACCTTGTATTGAAAACACAATAGACTTTGAAATTAGTTCATTCAAGTTATTTTTTATGTTATTTACTAGCAGTGTATCCTTTTGCAAGTTATCAAGTTCCTCTGATTCTTGGAATCTTAATTTTAAGGGTAGTAATACCTCACAAGGCTGGGAGGCCTAAGGGATCTAATTGAGGCACAGTACATGGAACAGAAGCAACATAGCTGCCACCCAGATATTACTTCTCTTCTTGCCTCTCCAGCTTCTCCAGATCACTTCCCCACCTCATCCTCAAATTAACTCTGGAAATATTGGACACGGGGTAGTCATTGAATGTTACCAGATGACTCCAATTGTGCTACCCAATTCTCAATTGGAAACAGCTTACCGTGGCCTGACTCCCCTCGGGGTCCAAGTCCACACTTATGATGTCCAGGCAAAAACAGTTTCTGACACATAGCAGGCACCGAGAAATGTTGGTCAAATGAATGGATGGGTCTGGTGTGGAGAGAAGATAAATCCTGGGAGAGCCGCTTAGGGAGGTGTCCAGTTGTCTTCATAGAAAACACTATCACTATCAGGGTGACCGAAGCAGACGTCATAGGCTGGGGGTGGAGTAAGAGGCTCCAATTTGGGGAGGACCTCCAAGCTCCGCAGATCAGGGGCAGTGGATACAGCCCGTGGTCCCTGAAGCCGAAGGCTGACTGGAGTTCTTCCAGGGCTTCCTTCCAGGATCACAGAACCCTCTGAGCCCACTCGTCTTTCCTGTCTGGCTCTCCTGAGCCTCTCTGGATGGCTAGACCGTCTCTCAAGTCCTGGGGGGATTACAATACTGCTGTATGGGGGTGGTTGGTTCAGCTCTTGGGGGTGATACTGTGAATCCAATACCACCACAGCCTCTTCATAGGCTGGCACCTCAAAGGCTTCATTGTCCCTGAGAAAAGAGAAGTAAGGTCATTGGTAGCTTCCTGAAAGGAACTCTTTTTCCCTTTCCTGTCTGCTGCTGGCCCTTGACCCCTCCTCTCACTGACATCAGTGACAAGAAAACAGATTTTATGCTTATCACCTTGTATTGAAAACACAATAGGCTTTGAAATTAGTTCATTCAAGTTATTTTTTTATGTTATTTACTAGCAGTGTATCCTTGTGCAAGTTATCAAAACTACTCTAATCCTTGGTTTCTTAATTTTAAGGGTAGTAATATCACACAAGGCTGGGAGGCCTAAGGGATCTAATAAAGGCACAGAACATTGAACAGAAGCAACGTAGCTGCCACTCAGATGTTACTTCTTTTCTTGCCTCTCCTCTCCTCCTGCCCACCTCTTAACTCACCGTGCATTGCTTGAGGTCCCTGGGCTCTCGGTCTGCACTGGTCGGAGCTGGAGCATCCATTGCAGAAAACAGGCCAAGAGGCAAGCAGAAAAGAAGCAGCCACCCAAAGTGAGAAAAAAATAAGCAACAGGGAGGACTTCCGGCTTTATGCCCAGCAAAGCCAGCCCCAGGAGGAGGGAGGTGCAGCTCAGGAGGAGAAGTGGCTTCTCCAATCTCCTCCACAAGTGGCTTGGCACCATGGCCCCTCCCCAGGCTCCTGCAAAAAGACACACAGCTGTTGTGTCTAAACTAGTAATTGGCATCATGGTTGTGTCAGATACCAAAGTAACCTTATACTCTTTCGTTTGGGTTCTAGGTTTTCTAATCTCACATCAAAGAAATGATCTGCAGGGTCTCCTCCAGCTCCACAGTTCTGTCTAGGTATCCGCATGTGTGGAATAGCCAGGAAACCAGCCCAGGAACCCTGACTCCCAGCCCTCGTGTAAATTGACTGCACCATACCTCTGCCTTCCTTCTTTCCTCCTTCTTCCCACTGGTCTCCCTTTCAGCTCTGTTCCCCTCCACCATTCAGGATCCAGTCTCCAGCTCTGTTCCCCTCCACCATTCAGGATCCAGTCTCCAGCTCTGTTCCCCTCCACCATTCAGGATCCAGTCTCCAGCTCTGTTCCCCTCCACCATTCAGGATCCAGTTCAGTGCATGCCCTGCCTGGGCCTCAGTGCTCACCGGCATCTCTGGAATCCAGGTGATGAGGCAGGCCCTGCCCTTCCCATATTGTTGCTCCTACGGGACCTCCACACCCACCTTCCCAGCCAGAGGCCCTCATTCCACCCTGTTAGAGAGAGAAGGAGGGAGGGAACTCCACTAATCCTGTCTGACCCTATCCTCCCTTTCCCTCCACAGTCAGCCCATGCTCCAGTTGGAGGAGAAAGTGCACATAGGCCCAACAAAACCACAGGGACACAACTGCGCGCTAGAAAGAATCTTACAGACAAAGGCCCAAGGCAAACACCCGGAGGCCCTGGTATTCCTTCCTGTTCTCTTCTAGACCCCATCCCTGTCCTGGACCCCCCCTCCCCCCGCCGTTGATCCTAATCAGCTACACTCAGATTTCAAGTTTTCTGCCAAGAATTAATTAGCACGGGGACTGGGAGACAGTGGGCAGGGGAATCCTTTTCTTTCCTCTGAAACATCAACAACCTGAGAGAGCCAGCACCCCAAAAGCAGCCTGCCGAGAGTACTCAGAGCACGGTATAGCAAGGAGTCGTAGACCCCTCCTCACACCTCGGTCCCAATCCCACTCAGAAGTTCCTCACTCACCAGTGTCCACAGACTGCAGAAAGGAGGTTGTAGGGGGAGCAGCAGGAGGGGGGAGGTGGGGCCTACCGGCCCCGCCCTCTCTTCTGCCCCATTCCCTCGCCTTGGCCCAGTTGGCCTCCGCCCCTTTTCTTCCCACACTGATTTCCTACTCCATCACCTGGAATTTTTTTTCTTTTTTTCTTTTGCTCACTCCACCCACTGTGCAGTGCCCTAATGAGAGTGCACCCTAACTCCCAATGATCTTTGTACTTAGGACCAGAGTTAGAATTAACCTTTCCCTCTCAGTGCACATTGTGTGTTCATTACAGCCCTGGGCAGTTTGCCATCTATTTGGGTCACTTATTTTGTGCCTGTCTCTCCCAAGTGACTGGGAACAGAGATCAAGGCTTATTTAATCTCTGTCGATCTCACAGTGCATTACATACAGTGTAAGTAATGGAATGGGCCTGGAATGGTGTGTCCTGCTTTTATTGCCCAAGTGCCATTTCAGTGGACTCCCTGTTTTCTGCAGACCTGTGTGTACTTGGCTCAATTAACTCTTGATTCTTCAAAATCCACCTCCGAGGTGATGCCTTCTGTGAAGCCTGTATCCACAGTGTATACACACATTCTTTCCTAAATTTGCCCAAGCATTTTCCCTGTTTGCCTATCAGTTTTGTTTATCGATTTTCCTTCCACTGTGAGTTTTTCCTAGTGAGTGATTAGTTTTAGTCATCTCAGAATCCCGGAAACTAACATGGTTCCTGACACATGGTAGGTGCTCACTAAATAGACCTGTTGCTTTTGTTAGAAGGCTACCTTTCCACCTGGGCTCATCAAGAGGTCAAGGAGCCATGCTCTTAGTTGCTGGTCAAGCAGTAAGTTTGTGTGAGGTAGGTGCTTGGAGGTGTACAGTGGGTGGAGGAAGACTTTGTCTTTGAGCTGGAGAAGGATAGACAAGAATGGGCTCTGCTACTTCAGGTGTTAGCAGTGGACAAACTGAGGGGGGCTGCAGACAGGGGGCACAAATCTCACCCAGGATCCTCAGGGACAGTCGTGGGGTGTAGCCAGGGGAGCTGCAGCAGAGGGTATGTGGAGTGTGTGTGTGTGTGTGTGTGTGTGTGTGACTGAGAACCAGAGTGACAGAGAGCGAAAGAGAGAGAGAGAGAGAGAAACAGAGAAGAGAGAAGAGAATGAATGAGTGAATGAGGATGAATGTATCTGTAGTGGTATACATGGAGGGATGTCCAAGATTGTTCTGTCCCAGATGAATCACTGGGAGAGGAAGGAGACGTAACAGGAAGGCTATGGTTATCTAAAGGAGGTGTGTCTCTATGCAAAGTAGGAATGGGGAATGAGAGAACTGCTTGTTTTGTTTCTACCAATTTCCTTATTTTATTTTATTTGTTTTGAATTGGAGTCTCACTCTGTTGCCCAGACTGGAGTACAGTGGCCGCTCCCGGCCACCGCAGCCTCGATCTGCTGGGCTCCGGCGATCCTTCCGCCTCAGCCTCCCAAGTAGCTGGAACTACAGGCGCGTGCTACCACGCCCGGCTAATTTTTTGATTTATTGTAGAGATGAGGTCTCGCCAAGTTGACCAGGCAGGTCTCGAACCCATGGGCTCAGGCAATCCACTCACCTCAGCCTCCCAAAGCGCAGGATTACAGGCTGAGCCACTGAGCCCGGCTACCAATTTCCTTATTAATTCACCTGGGAAAACTAAGATTGGAAACAGGATTTTGATCTAGATAATATATGAATATAGCCGGGCTCAGTGTCTCAGCCTGTAAATCCCTCGCCTTTGGGAGGCTGAGGTGAGTGGATTGCCTGAGCCCATGGGTTTGAGACCTGCCTGGGCAGGCGAGACCTCATCTCTACAATAAATTAAAAAATTAGCTGGG